AACACAAGGGTTCAAGCAAAAAAGAGTTTTGGATCCTTTAGATCTTTCATTATGAACCCAGATAATAATCATGGATGGCAGAGCACGGAGTTTTATACTCTCGAGACACACCCTTCTTTTATAGGTTCTATTATGTAATATTTTCGCATATTTATTGAGGATTCACTACCTCTTGTATGTATTTCCATCATCTAATCTTTTTTTACTTGTTCCTCAACAATAATATTTTCATTAGCTTATTTGGATCTTTACAAATACTCCTTCTAGGAGATACTCGATCAACAAGTCGAGATAATACACGTTGGTATTTAACCAAGAGTTCCATTATAACTCCGTCTATAAACATGAGCTAACTTATTTAATCTTTTACATAGTGTTCACCACATAATCTATTTGAACCGAGATGATCATTTTGTATATTATTATTATTATACACAAGGTTCTACATTGAATTTCTTAGTTTAATTCTTCAGGAAGAATTTTGTTGGTTATACCACATTTTACCAATAACTTTATATAATTAAATAATTTATTATTCGATTATCTTTCATCTCGGGAATTCGAGTCCATCTAGGACTTTCACATATGACTCATAGTCATAGTAATGTTGTTGCCATAAATATTAACTTACGGAATAATAGATGATGAGAGAAGTTTTATAAAATTTTGGGTCTCTACGTAAACCCATAGTCATAATCTCGCTATATTTACATTACACCACCATATCACATGTTTCATATAAATATTCATTATCCTGGTATATATCGTGTAGCGAGTGGAAGCTCTGCCTTTATTTTTCTTTCTATCTCAATCAACTTAAGCGCTTCTAGCACTTTCATTATTTTGATCCGGATCATTATTTTGATCCGGATCATTACTTAAGCGTGTCCTCTCTCTTTTCATTTTCGGCTGTTGGCCCCGCTTGTATTTGGCTATGTTTTTTTCTTTGAGTAGTAATATATTACCTCTTTCGTTTCGAAAAAAAAAAAAGAAATTACATAGGCAGTTATGTTGTCGACAACTATGATATTCAATTTAAATTCTCTAAACCATATGTGCAACTTCATATTTATTAGCCATATTTATAATCATTTTCCGTGACAATTAATTTTGGTTGTTCGTATTTCCAGTACTATAATGGATTTGATGCACGTACAATATGTACTGGATCAACTCTTTAGGAGTTTCTTACAAAAGAGTGTTAATTCTTAAATATACATTTTCCGCAGATTTTCATACATCATATATTAATTATATCACCTTATGTTTGTAGCATTAAGGATTCAATCATTCCCTTGGAAATTTGCTTACTTTGTGGTACATTTATATATATACAAATCCTCACTCCATTATTATTACAAATTTCGTTTGGCAGAAATATAATAAGAACTTCATGTTCAATTTTTTATTGCGTGGTTTCAAATAATGAAAACATAATATTTCACGGCATAAATATACTTATGCTCATATCTCCCCCTAATGCTGTGAAATTATCTTCATATATTATACAAAACACGTATCAAATAATAAATTGACCCCATGGCCTCTAGGTATTAAAAATCTAACGGAGTATCATAGCATACCTAGTTTGTAATATAGGCCCATTAAGGTACGAATTGGTGGTGATATAAAATTGTGCATAAAATACTAATAAATCACAAATGGGAAATGATCTATTTTCCATGCAAATTATAATAAATAATTACCCTATATGATCCAACTGCTCATTCTAATTATCAAATATATAAATTGGGCATTGAAGTATAATAATTCATTTCTAAGTGAACACTATATGCTTCAGGCATTACATATTTATAACTCTTCAGGAGTATAACAATTCAATTATTAGATATTCCATAAGTTATATAATATTTTTCCTCTAATATTGAAATAATCCTTATATAGAGGATAATATCTACTGGACATATCATACATGTTAATATTTTTAAATTTTTACAATGAATGTGAATAATAATAAGATACATATCAAACAAGATATGTTCATAAATCAGGATAATTAAATCCAGTAATATATATGCTTGTATAATAGAGATAATTTTCTATCATATATCTCATGTGATAAATTATACTTTTATTCATGTGCTTCTGTCACTACATGTATCTTTTTCATATCACATGAGTCAATTCATAAATATTCACATGTCCACGTACCAAATAATTTTCTCAATAGAAAAAATTCAAACATTTCATAATACCAATATATATAATTTAATAAACTATATCAATATTGGTTTTAAAATGAAGCTACCACTTAATTGAGTATTATGAAAGTGAAATAAGTTTAATTATTTTTCAATCATTAAATATCATTCACGGCTCTCTTGATACATCCACCAAAGCAATTTAATAAAATCTTAATGATATTATTCCATGAAAATAGAATTATTCCATGAGCAGAATTATTATTTATATGACATTGTTAGTCAAATGATGTGATCATTACCTGGGGCTGGTCCCAACTGAACTCTTATATATCATTCATATTTCATGCGGTAGCCTTCCTCTTCTCCACAAGCCTCTGAGAAAAAAATCGTCTTTTGATTTACAAATTTGTCATACTTTCAATTTCGAATCCGAGGACATCAATTTAGTGAAGCTATAAGCGGCATCTCGACATGTGAGTCTCAAAATGAAGTAATGAATTAATAATCTGATTTCTGATACAGCGGATCGTCTATAAGACGCAACTGTAGAGCATACTCTCGTCATATTAAAAATTGAGTTCTAGAGGGTAGAGACTCGTGCTGATAACATGTGGTAAAACTAGAGAGAAATAGAAAGAAAATATATTATCTTAGTTATCTTTTCATTATAACTGAAGCTCTTATTTATAGAAAAACTTTTGATGGCACAATCTTAATAATACAGTTGACTGATGACTGATGAGGACCATAAAACACGAATAAAATCTCTTTAGCTACGTACCTGTTATGGTGGCTCTGTAAGACTCGTAATAACTGGGTTTTTCAGAAAACTCATAGCTTGAAATTGGATGTAGTGCAAGGGGCTAAGTTGGAATGGCTAGAATATGCAAACATTAGAGGGAGTGGTGGTGATGGGAAGATAACAGCAAGGCAACATGGAGGCTGCCAGAATCCAGGTGATGAGCAGGGAGTAAGGTTGATTGGAAGATCAATCAGTGCTACTGATTCTCATTCTGGGAATGACAGAGGAAGGAGACAAACTATGGAGCCAGCTTTGAAGGTTCACACATGGCACTACTATAGGGATGGAGGATGTCCTAGTGAAACTTCGAAGATGGTTAGAACATGGAATGACTCAAGGATGGCAGAGGGTAGAGATCCACATCCCAAACAAACACCTTCTGAAAATGTTGCAATCTAGAGATGGCTTTGATTCTAATATGGTTGTGTTGGTGTTCTATTATTTTGACTCTTTGGTTTCGGTGTTATTAATTTAGTTTTTGCCACTCTTGTAGGGTGTAGTAGAGTTTTTATGTTGCTGGTTGTCTGTATGTTTCAGGTACTTCGCTATTTCTTTGTTTTCTGGTAGGCTTTGTTTGTCGGTTTTTGTGGTGTTTGCTTTTGGGGCTGTGTTTGGCCGATAGGGGCCGGGAGTCCATGTGGATATCCTCCTTGTGTAGGTTCTTGTCTAAGTAGTTGGTTTAGGCAAGAGTCCTTACCCCAACCCTTTGGTTGGTCGAATTGTACTTTGTTTGAGTTTTTTATCATCTAATTCATTTGATGTTTAAAAAAAAAAAAAAAAAAAACATATGCAACTTCTTTCAGAGAACAATTCAAAAATACAGATTTCACATCCATTTGATACAAAATAAATCGCATTAAACACGCAATGGATAAGAACATCCGAACAAAGGAGAAGAAAGCGAGAACCAAAACTCGTAATGGCTCTCCACCACTGTGATGTTGCCCGCTATAGAGAGGATGGGGAACTCTAACAACAACATCACGCATTGACGTTTTTCTCCTCTGCCACAACAAATGTCGTGCATTTGATCCCATCCGCTTGTTAACCATCTCCGACTAAATTAATTAGTACTAGCTTTACTCTTTTGATTTGATTGAGCCTATATAATAGACATGTAAATAATTTTAATTTTCTTACTACTCTTTTGATTGATTGAGGGAGAGTATATATAGTGGAAGATCATACTTTATTCTATGATAAATTACTTTCTCACTCATAATCTTCTAATTCTGTCTCACTCAACTATTACTATTACTATCGATGAATGATCGAAGATACTTTTTATGATTGTCTTTGCAATGGCATGTAATTTTTCAGTTGTTCTTTTCTTGGTATTAGGATGTTATATCTGTGTTCGGGGTTTTAGTTTAACCCGTTGGTGATCGCATATTTAATGTGCCGTAATCTATCACGTACTGTAGCTTAGCTTTGAGTATTCGTCGCCACAGAATGAAATGATTCTTTGAGGCTGGCTGGTATTGTATTTGTTGTATCCTCAAATTTCTTATGTATTTGTGCTGTTCAACTATGAGTTATGTTACTTGAAAGTGTATGTGCACATTTTCTTTGCTTGAAAGTGTATGTCTGCACATTTTCTTACTGTTTAGTTTTATCTGTTTGCAGAATAATTTTGTTACAATTTTCGCAATTGATCACTAGAAATTATTAACTGACTTGTGATAGTAAAAACAGTTGCACTATTACCAATGGTTGGCAACACCATGCATCAAAAAATAACTTCAATATTGTTGATAAAAGTTGAAGCTCAAGAGTCAAACATCACAAAATGCAGGAACAGAAAGTTCCCACATACAACTCTCACAAGAAAACTACATAGAAATCCGTAATAAAAGATCAGGAGGTAAAAAAACGCCTCATAAACATCACACAATGATGTTTCTGATCAATGCAGCTACATTCACCCTACAAAGTTTCAGTACACATCATAAAAGACATAACAAAAAAGAACCCACCAAACACTTGGATATTCTTTCCATCTTCTTGATGGTCAACCGACAATTAATGTGTGACTAGACAGTCGGCATAGGATTCCATGCGCAAGAGTTACGGCCTCGTCCTTGGGCCGACGAACTCGAGCCCGTGTCCATTTGCTTGCAGTCTTTGTTCAAATCATCGCCGAGAAGTTTCCCCATCGCATTCTCCAGCAATGAATGGTCGTTAGTGGTGGGGCATTTCATCGGACCCAGACAGCTCGAGGCGAGCAAATAATCGGGCCTTGAGAAGATCATCGGGTTTGCTTCCTCAACTTTTACCTCGTATTGAACCGGGCCCAGATTGCTTGCTACCTCTTTAACTTCAGATCATAACAAAATAGGAATCAAGATTTTGGGGGAATCTAATCAAATCAAAGAAAGAAAAAAAAAATGTGAGAGCAAATTAATGGATAATTGCAGCTAACAGTGACAGACCTGGCAAGTCGGTATCATCGAGGGAAGTGGGAGTGATGGGCCCGGTCTCGCTGAAGACGGATGAAGGGGAGTGGCCGAGGGGGGGTGAGAGCTGCTCCTCCCAGTGGGTCCTGCCAGCGCCAAGGGCACGGTTCGAGTCGAGGCTATGCCCGAAGAAGGGGGGTTTGGTCCTGAGGGCCTCGGAGCCGTAGAGGACATCCTCGAGGAGGCCATTGGTGGAGGCGGGCCCGGGCGCGCGGTCATCCTGGATGAGGACGTCAGGCGGCTCGAAGAAGGGCAACGGGGGGTCGGGACAAGGTGAGCCCCCGTGGGTTTGGAGTGAAGGGAGCTCGACATTATGAAGAGTCGAGTTTTGTTCATAGTGTGGAAAAACAAAGGAGTTTTGGTGGTACAAGGGAGGGAAGAGGGGTTCAGGGCCGCGGGGCCGCTTGCACGGGTGGAAAGCCATGCCCGTGGGAAAGGGCTTGGTGTTGTTGTAGTGGTCGAGGAAGGGCATGGCGATGTCGAGAGATGGATGATGATGATAAAGGTAGTGCTGCCGCCCCAGCTCCAGACCCTTGAACTCCACGGATGGTATGTTGATCAAGGTGCTCACGGGGAGGTAGTCCGGGTGGTGGGGCCCATCAGGGGCCGGAGGCTCGTCCATGTTTTCGTTGGGCAGGGCCTCCAGGGAGATGTCCGGCGGGTAGATGGGTAGGCCTGCACGTTGCCTTCGTTTGATCCGGGTGTTCCAGAAGTTTTTTATCTCGTTGTCCGTGCGGCCCGGTAACTGATGGACATGATATGGAAGAAAAAAAAAATGGGAAAAAATGAGTGATATTTGAGAAATAAAAATATGGAATTTGCATAAACAGAAACAAACATCATGCTTTAGCAATCCATTTACCAAACAATTAATGCACTTGTGTAAAACTCACTCAATTGGTTAAACCAAGTATAAAATATTATCACTGATAACATAAAACGATACAGAAAGAAGTTCAAGTTCGAGAGGATGGGATTTTCTTGCATAGAGTTCGCCATCTACAAACAAGTGAATGTGCAAGTAACCATTCTTTTCTACCTCAACAAAGTCGTGGTAATGCTTGTAGAGAATGTTTACTTATTTCAGTTCCAAATACCTAACGTCAAATTCATAAACTTAAACATTTCTAAAAATGTAGATTACATATCAATCAGAAATTCTTCAGAGTTTAGAGACATACACCATGGTTATCAGGAGAAAAGTTGACCTTCAGAATCATTTTCCACCGAACATCAGACACGAGCTACACTCTTGACTGCTAAGCATGCACGCTCACTAGTGGCTATAATATACACACTCACATGCAAGAAAAAGAAAGTTCCTAAATGCACATGTAGAGAGATCAAGTATTGCATTAAACAGGGAAAAATATTTATAACAAAATGCACACCTCAGCGGCCATTCGGGCCCATTTATTCCCCATCTTTGCATGAAGCTCAATTATATGACGCTCCTCCTCGGGGGTAAAAGCCCCTTTCTTAAGATCCGGTCTCAAGTGATTGGCCCACCTCAGACGGCAGCTTTTCCCGCATCTGGACAGGCCCGAGTTCTTTTGGACCGCATTCCAGTTGCCTTCCCCATGCTTGGTGACGTATTCTATTAGAACCGCGTCCTCTGCTGAGGTCCACGGGCCCTTTTTAAGCTGCCCGTGATTTTCCGCATTTGGCCCTCCGCTGTTGGCTTCGTCGGTGGACGGTGAATCCACGCCGTTGGTCAGCATCAACTTCTCATCACTTTCGCTTGTCATACTCATCTCCTAATTCGTCAAAAACTGGAAAAAAAAATTGGAAGAAAATAAAAATATGAGAAGAAGTATCAACTATGAACCCACTTATGGGGTTCTAGAGAGCAAACACTGACAAAATGGGTGGTTATTGCAAGTTTATCTCATTTTTTTCCTTGGGGAAGTAATTGTTGAAATGATGAAACAAGGGAAAATTTCGAGAAAGGGACAATAATTGATGACGATGAAAACTTTATTCGGAAAAAAACTTATGCCGACAACCGACAAAAACTTTATGGTTTTAACAGACCAATCACATTCTTCGATGAACTGCCCGAACCACGCAGCATATCACGTCATCAAAACTCCAATCAAAGGAACAAAACTACAATTCAAATGGAAATGCACAAGCAATATATTTAACTCATTCTCGCAATTCAAGCTCCAAAAAAAAAAAAAAAAAAAAAA